CTGTTTCATAAAGGCATTCGTTGACTATTATTTTTGAAGTTGTGGGGTGTGCGATAGACTTATCTCCACGTGGTGCACCTAGGCAAAGTCTGCTCATACGGCAATAAAGTCTACCAGACCGGCAGTTGACTTCTGACTTCAACTTGCCATGACCCGACTGTATGTCAGATTCGAACCCTTCACAGTACTCATCTTACCTTTTCTCTGCCTTTGTGTCTGTCTGTCTGTTTTACATCTTTGAATCACTCTTGTGTTCCTCCCCCCTCGACTTTTTGTCAATCTGATGTTCCTCCTCCCTCTGTGAAGCCCGAAGTCAGCTAAAGGGCTAATGATAACTATCGAAACGCCCGCCATTGGATACAAATAAATAAATAATATAGTTGTAGACAGAACAGCACATTTTCGCTAATTACCTGGATCTCTAAGGCTCTTTAATAGTCTTGAAGCATGAGTAGCCGAAGCACCAGGAGTAATTCATTGTTAGCTCAATAGAGGTCATGAAAAATGAGCAGGTTTACCTATTCAAGCCAGTTTCCGCATCAATCAAAAGCATCTATCTATCGTAATCTTGTTGACCAGTATTCTGAAGTAATCAACTAGTCAACAAGCCCAGAACTCTACAACCAGAAACTTACTCGATAAACAAGTGAGAATTTCAAAATTTTAGCAACAAGGCGTTCAACAGTGAACTATAGCCGCGAGAGAGGTGTAAGTGAACCTAAGAGTCACATTCCGTAAGACCCCACTCCATCCCCTTTCCATAAATCATTTTAGGCCTCCCAGTGAGCTCCTATGCGCTCGTGCGCTTACTCATCATGAAAAGTCGTGAATTATTAAACCTGTCTGTGGATTATGATAATTGCAATTCTGCCCGCGTCATATGTCCATGACAAGCTCCCTCTCATCAAATTCGACATCTGATTACATCAGTACTTCGTCTCCGAACACTTAATATAAAATGGTGCACGGAAACTCTTCACTATAAAGTCCTACTTAAATAACGTCCAGATCCATTCGCGAACACGTCTGACAGCACTCATTCCTCGGACAAGGGGTAGCGCTCTTAAGGCTTAACCAATAGGGCTGACCATTTTGTTTAATTGATGTTACAACAACCACCAAGCTTAATGTTTTCGAGTTCCTTGTCGAATATGTTGACCACTGTGAGTCACCGATGCCCCATACTCGATTGTCTTCCTTTGGATTCCCTAAGCTGCTCAATAAGAAAGGCCTCTAGTGTGGCAGACACGGTATTGGGAGATAATAATGATAATGACTAAGCGTCAGGCTATTTCCACAGCAAGAGTAGTATGTCTTTCATCAAGAGAGAGAGAGAGAGATACGGAAGGGCTATTTTTTAAAATGAATCCTTACCACAATCAGCAATTTCAGCATACACTGCTCACTGCCACCCACCCCAGAGGTTAGAAAAATAAGACACTTGTACGCGCATCCTGCAGTTACTCGTAGCGTTAATATTTAATTAATAAGCCGATAGTACACCAAAGAAATAAAAATCCCACTACTAGGACTTAGATGGATAAATCACAAGATACTCATTCGACCAATTGTCCTGTACTATAAGAAGGAGAGAGAAAATGGATTACTCAGGGAGGGACTGGGAGGAGATTTAGACAAAGGAAAAGGGAGAGTAAGAAACGCAGGTCATATTGTATAGGCGAAGGTCACATTGAAACTGTACAAAGAAGAAAGTAGTCTTCTCTTTTAAATTCTGGCTTTTAGAAGCCTCCTCTCTCTCACACCTCCTCTCACGGAGGGGCAAAAGTATTAAAGTCTATGCCACATCTCTGAAATCGTTCCATAATGCTACGGCGCAGAGTAAACTTGGTGCGTTTTCCGGACTCTCGTGAGCCGACTGCAGCATCCACCGTTCCTTCTTCCTCTTCTCGGTCACCCCCTTCATCATTATTGCTGCCTTCCTGCTCCTCGATTGCTTTTTTGAAGTTTGCAATGTCTTCACCACCGGCAGGTAGGTCTCCAGCCGGAGTTGTGATGACCCTCGTTCGACCAGTATCGTCGTCACCAGAATCAACGTCAGTGATTGGACGTTTGGTGGGTTGGAAATTTCGGAGAACTTCGGTGGATTGTGGTTTGCTGTCTGAAGTGCTAATTTCACGCATTGAAACGTCATTTGAAGGTGGGCAGTTCTCCTGTTCTGGACTGTCTACCACGGGAAGGGGTAAACCATTGTGCCATACAACTAAAACGGAGAGAGCAAAGATTTTAGTAGGGTAGAATGGAAAATGAGCTTAATTATAAATGACAGATGAGAATCATGTGTTAATATATAGGAAAATCTAATTAGCCTAGTTCTGAGAGACTCATCAACAGTGAATGTAAGTGTGAGCATATATGGTCTAATCTCCTGCAATACTAGAATAGTATTAAATAAAGGAATTCATTTTGCACAATTTTGAAGTGAAGAGTTGAATAAGTACACTGTTAGAAATAATTAACCCAATCGCCCTTTACCCAAGGGACTTCGATTACTTCTAATTCCTAGCAATGAAACAGACAAAGGAATTCTTGCAGATTCGATTTAAAACTCTGAACGTCACATACAAATTATGCAAAGTTAAACAAATTGGCAATAGCTCTTTTAAACAATTATTCTAATCAGCCAAAACTAAGGAAACAGCATAACAATGTGTAAAGATTAAAATGGCATTAGCATTAATATTCCTTCGGCATCTACCAAACCTTCGATTTCTAATAGAATACTCTGAATAAAGAACTCAATGTGTGCGTTTTAGGAAATCAAGTCTTGACACCAAGACAGGTAATCTCTTGACGAATGAATCCACCGATAAACGCATGATGCAGATGATTCTGAATTCAGCTCCCTCCACTTCCTACCTCAGTGCTGTTTGCGACTGCATGATCACGCGTGAATAAAAAATTGTGAAGTATTTTCGCTTGTAATGTTTAATAATAGAAATGATCAATGGCGACTTAAGAGAGTGCATATTCAAAGGTGAGATCAAAGGGCATACACAACATTATCACGTCTTTACTTATCAACACACCTATCAACATGATGCACAAAGCCGAAAATCTAGGAGAAAATGGAAAGAACTAAATGAATGGCAACAAGTCCAACTGATAGATCGGTCTTTAACTTCACTCATTAAATGATCATTAAGGAAATCGCGTTAATCAGTACGTAGCGAAGACGATTCAATGTCTCGCTATGCACACTCCAATTGAATGCCAATTAGTTCGCTCCTCCAAGACCTACCTATTGATTTCAACAAAACGCAGAAATACAAACTGAACTCAAACCTTTAAAATAAGCGGCTCGAAATGGAGTCAATTGCAGCCTAACAATGTCAATAAGGACTCTGCGACAAACACCTTATTTTAAAAAAAGAACTCTGATAAACTATAGAGCAAATGCCCCGCCATGGGTGAAAAAAAACGTGATTTATCTTTTTTTGTAAATCCCACTGCATGAAGACGACACTTGAAATAAAGGCAGCAATGTCTATCATTCGATAATTTCCAGGACCAATTCACACGATTCTCAAATAACAATGCAGTAAATGACTGCCATTAAATGCCATAATCCTTCTTCTATTAATGGGTTTAGTGTGCGAAGTTTATTTCATCAAAGGAAGCCTTTTTGTACACAATTTTGGTTATTCCAATTTTGCAAAAAAACTATCTGTGCAGAAATATTACTGAAAAAGTCAATTTTTCTGTGACAATCTGTTTGACACCTCTTAACTCACACCCTATTCGAGAGGAAAGTGTGATATCACTTGTCTCAAGTTTTGTCAAACCTTATCCTATCAGAGAAATAATTGTTACCTGTAAACTTAGCATAACCATTCATAATATCAACAGGGTCTTATCTATGAGCTTGTGGCAATTCGCGAAAAGTGAAGGAATAAGAGAAATGTGCATGAAAGAAACCATAATTTCCAAACTCTCCAAATTCAATTCAAGTTACCTCTAGAAGACATGGGAACATGGTGGTGCCTGACCGAGGATACTGGTTGAGCAGGCTTTTCCATTGAGCGCATTTCCACATCTTCCACTTCCACGACAGGCATAGGAGGCACAACAGCTTGAGGAAGGTTTCGTGGAGATGTCCGCACCGGTCTCACAATAGTTCTCGGTGGTTCCAGGCGTTCCTCTAAGCTTTTAGAAGGACCCGGTGTCATAAGGGGTTCAACAGACGGCGCAGATTTAAAATTGATTGTGGTTGTCAGGGCAGTATTTTCTAGCATGTTGAGATACTCCTCTGGAATACTGTTGCAATTGGCTGCTGCCACATAACTCATTCGAGCCGGATTATTTAACGCTGTCGACGTAGTTGCCGTTGCTACTGCTCCGGCACTATAGGGTCTAGTTGTTACTGGAGGCTGGTTTTGTTGTGTGGAAGCTCCTTTTCGAAGGCGCGGAACAGCTGGCTTCCGTATTCCAACACCCCTTCGACTTTCTGTAACAGCACCTATCATGTAAGAGAGAAAACACATAACACTAGCAGTACAAAAGGACGCAGTTAGCACAAGAACACTGGAAATGAGTATCGCACACGAAGGCATGGCTTGATTAAATGTGGCAGTATAGAATAACAAATCTCATTCCATTGTGAATTAGAACTAAAATATTTTTTATAAGTAGAGCAACTATCATGACCCGACTAATTTCGAAACAATTGGTTAGTTATAGATTAGAGCTTTACCTGAATAACCAAAGCAAGGAGCAGTTGGAATATAATAGGTAAGCCAACATCCACCAGCGGAATGAATAGCCCTACGATTCAGTTCCTAGTAATTAGGCACCCAACATCGGGAACTAACTTTATCTCCCCCATCTAAACAGCCCAAAAAAAAACATGCGACAATCTTGTTTACTTAAACATTATAGAAAATTTTAATGAATCCTTCGGAAAACACGTAGGTTCGAATAAATTAGACGAATTCGAAGGCCTGACAAATTGCCAAATAAGCAAATGAACTGAAATGACAATAGGCGTAAGGAGCCCAAAAGATCGCTTCGCAAGTGTATATCAAATTACTTGCAGATTAAATCAAAATTTCACCAAATTTCAGCACATATTCTACTAACTGAGTTGAGCATTGCACAAGACTAAACCTTACACTTCAGCCTAACGTTTTAGAAAATTATTACATGTATTCAATTGGTAGACCAAACGTATAAATAATTCGAGCTATGATCCGCATGGAAAAAGGTCATGCCTTCTAGAGGCCTTACCAGAAGATGCACTGTGATATAAATTTTATACCAAGGGTTTAGCATAGCGTATCGATGTAATATGACTGAAACTGCATTTATGAACTGTTACTAAAAAATAAGAACTGTCTTGTGTAAGTTGAATTGACTACCAACTCAACCGCAATTTGGGAAGAAAAGCATCACACTCAATCACTCTGGTGAACAGCTCGAATTCTTCCACCCCTTTATAGGCGGACTTAACCAATTCGATGGGCAATTTGAGTATGAATGAACATAGAAGCCATGACGAAATCCTTGGATATCCCCAGCCGATGAACAAAAAAAACTATTAACTACCATATAAGGACTTTTCAATTTACTAATTTGTCCCTTGTCTCCTTCGAATATCATTTGGGCCAAAAGTAGCTTAGTTAATTTTCTATTAGGACAAATCACAAGATGGCAGAGAACCCTATATAGTAGTTGGAATCAGTTTCGATGGGTTAAAGTTACACTTTCCAGATGTTGCCTGATATTCTAATGCGGGAGGTGCCATAACTAAACAGAGTATTGATGTTTATTGAAAAGGAAAATTAGGCACATTATAGAATGAGTGCTTCTAGATGAACTGTCTGAAATCGTGACCCCGACTTGTATGCCTAATCATATTCTTATAGAACAATTAATGATCACAACCCCTGTTACAGTTCACTTTAAACAGTAAAATAACCACTTCTTATAGTTACTTTAAAAAAACTATTCGTGTGTAACCAAAAAATGAAAAGATACTGGGGTGTTTAAAGAATAGAAATTATTTCATCACTCAGGCGCTCCATGGTACTCTAATGATTTTGCTATTTCATTCATTTTTTATAACAACAGTTAAATCATCCTGATTTCAAAACATTTAAACCCAAAGAAATTGGGGGCAAGCCTACGTTTGAACGTGGATCAGAGCGTGCGAATTGAGCCGATTCATGACGATCGATTAAGCTAATAACAAAAAGTCAATGCCTTATAGCTTATAGTGCATCAATTAAAACATGTTGAGAAGATGGCATTTTATTCCTCAATAATCGGGGTGTGCGATAGACTTACCTTCACGTGGTGCACCCTGGGCAACGTATACTCATACAGCAAAAAAGTCTATTAACAGGCAGTTGACTTCTGACTTCAAACTACCATCACCCCACTCCTTGTCGTACTCACACCACTTCCACAGTACTCGACATACCCTACTCTCGACCTTTGTGTCAGTCTCTTTTACATCTTTGAGACACTCTTCTATCCCCCCCCCCTCTTGACTTTTTTTCACTTTGATGTACCTTCCCCTCTGTGAAGCCTGAAGCCAACTAAAGGGCAAATGATAACTATCAAAACGCCTGCCATTTGATATATATAATAAATTCCGCAATAATCAATTCTAGTGAATGTGAGTTCTCCCAACGCTAGTTGCTAAAACATCACCTGCTGATGCAACCAACTTTACTATGTGATTGGCACTGCTCGCATTTTAAGCAAAACGATATTTCAAATGACGAGACCACAGCCCGACCCAATAGTTATGCGACCGAAACCGCGTCCAACAGAACACAAAGCAATACTCATGTTGGCCAGAAACAGGATGCAATTTGCCTTCTTAGGTTAAAATTCACTCTACTAGCTCCTTATTTACCTATGCAAATCACCAGATACATGCTGAACTCTTGATTTGCAACCTAATCCGTTAGCACTATGCCATGTACACAAAGTGTATAATTAAGGAGACTTACCAGCAGTAGCGGGACGGGCTGTCGTAGCAAGACCTGGTTTTCGCTTTACATTTCCATCCAGAAGTCCAGGGAGAAGGGATGATATCGATGGACCAGCTTGTTGAATGCTATTTCCATCGTCGAATACATCTGCCCGCATTTCATCGCCTAGAATTGTAGAAAACAGGTGCTATTATTAGGCGTACTTTGGGGTTATGCAGTAAGTGGGAGAGGAGGGAGAGAGAGGGTTAATTCTGAAACGAAATGTCATCGAGGTTAGTGTTGACAAAAGACATCTGATGTGAACTTTGATTATGTTAACACAGCGGCATACATCACTAGACCGACTTTCAGTGAAGTACTAATAGGACACCTTTGAAAGTATTGACATTCCATAAAAGAACTGCCGAAATGGGGCTAATTAGAAAGCTGAAAATATCAATACAACGAGATCATATGGTATTACTAAATCGCTTACGAGCATGAAAAAGCAAGGTACATTAGAAAAAACAAATAAGCTCCACTTTAAAAGCGAAATATACCTTAGCAATAACAAAGTCCAAATTTGATTCAAATTCAATTAATCAGAGCAGAGGATATTTTGTAAAGATATCCCCTTGAAAATCATTATTGTGCTCATTATCGTTTAACTAGACGTAATTTTTAACCCGAAAGAAAATGGAGAAATAGCAACAGTTTAGAAGAGTCGAAATCGTTGGAAAATATGGAAGGACATTCTATTTGAGTTGGGCTACAAACTCATTAAATCTACTTTTCACATCTCAATAACCAAGTCGTTTGTGCAGCGGACAATTATATGACGGAGATCCATGTGGATGTTTTCTTATCAAAATCCGATTTGTCAAAAATTCTCTTTAAAGACAATAAGAGTTTGCCGAAATTCGATGTTGAAATGAAATCGAATTAGTAAGGAAGTTGCAAACACTGATACCACAAAGAAAGCATAAAATTCATCGCAATCAACACAGAGTATCTCACTGATTTTAAGTCTGTTAATTGTCGTAGCTGTATGGATACATACAAAATATGAAACCGGATACTTTAAAAAGGCATGAATTTGGCATTCCATTGAAATTTTAGACTTCTACTCTTAGCGAGGTTTATTTTTTGGCTGTAAAAACTAGACCTATGTTTGCTAGTTGACGCAGAGGTGGTTGACAGCGCCTATCAATATATTTGAGTTTAGGCGTAAATTAATTCAATCCGTATTGAATAGATGGTTCCAGTAAAAGCGGCAAATTAAGACTACTTTCTTGCCATTTCTTTATCGTCAATGCTGGTTCTTTTACAAAATTTTAAAGACAGTTTAAGAAATATTTAAACCATAAGCAAAAATATTTGCCTTCGAAAATCGATTCCCCTTCAATGCAGAAGAGAACATTTGGAAGTGGGGAAGTATTCTGATGAGAAGGTCGCTTTTCACTACCCCATTCTTAAAAGTACTTAACAAATGTGGCTGATCATGACCTTCCGAAAATATAGGAGGGAAAGAAACAGATCTATTCTGACTGCCCGTCACCGATGTATAATCATGCCAAAATAAAATCGATCGGAACTTGTACACGAAATTCTGAGATCAGTGGTAAACACCAGTCAAATGAAAGCGTAATTCGAAATCCACAATGTGGATATCACTCTACAGACTTTCGTTCCGCACTAATAAGCTAATTTCGAGCACACAATGAAAATTGCAACTAATTTAAAGGTACCAAAGAGTTGCTTCAATTAATATTTGAGGCGTCACGTTTATTTACTCGCTTGCTCAAACACGTACTCAAATAATGTGCCAAATTTATTATAATTCGAGCAGTTCAAGCACAAGATGTCTGTGTCTTAGCAGTTTGAGTGCTCAGGCGGTAGAATCTATAAACACTTAAAAAAATTTGGCCTTGAAAATTCAGATTAGTCAAAATTGCATAGGTATGGGGTGAAGCATGTTATGATAATATCGGTGCAGGAAAATAGGAGCTAATTCGTTAATTAACAGCAAAGCTAAAAAATTCATATCACCTTAGAAAGTAAATTGATTTTGTTAACCAAATTGCAGGGGTTAAGTTGTAAATATAAATTGCAGACGCGTCAAAATTCAAGGTTCTGAGAAAGAAATTAGTGGAATTCACAGACTTCTCTCATGACTGTTTTTTTCCCTCAAACTCTAGTTCATTCGGTTTTCGTTGCTGTTTTTAGAACTTAAACCTGGCCAAGCACATGATGAGAAGAAATTTTTCGCGTTGAGACGAACCCGAATGATAATTTTCTTAGCCTATTTAGGAAGGCAAATAAGTGATATTTTCCATACACAAGCAAATAAAAACCCTAGTCAAGAATAGTTAACAAGTAGGATAGAAAGTAAAACGAAAAGAGCTTTTTAGAAAATGCATTTAGAAACCAATTGTATTATATATTGTCAATTCACTGATGAAATGGGAATGAGGATTCAATTTGTACACCCATTTAATGGGTTCAAAACTATGAGAGGACATTAAGCGCAACGACTACAGAGTCCAAAGTCACCTACTTAATTTAACTTGAGAAATAATTGCGCTAAACATAAGCTGTAGCTCATAATAGGGGCATAATTAATGCGACTATGTAGTAGGAATGTTAAAAAAAGGCTTTGGTATAGATAAAAGCCAAAATAGTTGTCTCTTTGTTTTTTTCCCACTACTGTTTTGGTAAAAACTTAGCCATCTAAAACTGTAGAGAGGAAAATGGGAAAGAGTAGACACTGCAATACTAGACTATGGGTAATGATCGGAATTCAACTCACAACCACAATGACCATGACAGCAATTTGGAATGTAACTCCTGGGGGGGGGGGGGGGGGGGGTAGTGTGATAACTACCTCCATATTTTTTTAAAGAGGGCATAGTTTTGATTCAGATTACTACCTGGAAACACTCACCATCGTGGTATTTAAACCCTAATCTGCATTATGTCTTAAGTATGGTGATAGAATTCGGTTAAAAATGGTGGTCAGTCTATTTAACTACACTAAACCGAACTCACCCTATTGTAACCCGAGAAACTTTCACGCATATATTGGGAGCCGTTAAGAAAGAACTAATCAATGAAATGGTACTAAAAAAGCCCAGCTAATCGGAATAATTAGAGGGACTTTAGACACACTTCCCAGGATACATAACATCAGCTTGTCAGAATAAGACAGAAAAACGAAGATGAGCCAATAAGCTCATAGATAAATTCCATAATAATTTATTACATTCAGTTTTCTACATGGGCTCATTGTTGTCTAAACACTTGTAATCTATAAATTCCCTCAATGTTGAATTCTGGGGGCAATTACATGATTTTAGCTTCAATTGAAGACGTAAATCGGATTCTTTAAAGTTTTCTTTCAGTTTTGGAAACAAGACAGCCAATCTGAAAGAGATGGGTCTGGACTATTCGGAGGATGTGAAAATATTTGCCATTGAAATTCGCGCAGCAGGGTCCTGACAGCCCTTGAAGAAAGTGCAGAGGCATTGTCAAGATGAAACAAAATTTCACTGCGCTGTTTCCCGCATCATTCTATGGAGAGGGATGTCGTCAACTTCTTCAAAACAACTTCATAATAACTAGGGGTGGCCATTTTCTGTCAATCTAGAAGGTCTATCCATCACCCAAATACCACTCCTCTTGAAACCCAACAAAATAGTGGCCATGACCTTCTTAACAGGCCTTTCAGCTTTGAACTTGATGCGCCCTTTGGATGCCACTCTTTTGATCGGATTTTGTTTTCTGCATCAAATTGGGAGATCCATATTTCATCTCTAGTAACACAGCGCTTAAAATGTTACACTTATTTGCTTCCATCTTTGCAAAAGTTGGTAAAGAAAGTTCATCTCCTTGGATCAGTTGTTCTTGCAACGCTTTTCGAAACCACCGTGCCCACCGAGAGCTTGCTCAAGCCAAGGTTTTCAGTGAAAATTGAAAATGTTGATCCATGTGCCATTCTCACTTCACTGGAAATTGCCTCAATGATAACTCATCGTTGGCCGCCATAAACCTGTTGTGAAGCTTCTATGATCTGAGCAGGTTGCTAATTTAGTTTGGTCCGTAATGTTATGCTAGCTTTGATCTCAAGTTTTGAGATGCAGTCTGTCTTGATCCTGACCTTACATAGAACGATCGGACAGTTTTATGACACAGTAGGGAAGCTCTAAATACGTTTGAAATCGCAAAAACTTGTAAATCTTTGCTCTGTTTAAAGTTAAGGCATTTGTCTGAGAACTTTTTGATGCACTAACACAGACGCTAAGAGCGATTACTTGGAGTAGAACTCTGCGGCACCCTGTACATTATCCGATTTTGGAAGCACAGAAAAGTAGATGGAGCACACACATGGACAATGCCGAACACAGTATTCAATGATTTATTCACCCATGCCTGGGAAAAATATCAATCTCCTCACAAAAAGGCAACCTCAGCAATACCCAACATTAATCTCGCTCCAACAGCCCCCAGGGATCGGTTGTATATATACGAAGAATAATCCCTCATATGTACCGTATACAAAAAAACGAAATCATGCACAATCAGAAATAATTGGGAGTAGTACCTTGCCTTTAGAGTGCAACATATGGTCCAATCCGAAGGTGCATACAATGTCTTTTCGCTCCTCGTAAAGTCCGTTCGCGTACTACGCATTAAATTGAACTCCATCAATAGGTTAGAACGCAAAATAAGACTCTAGAAGGAACTTTAAGTGTGCATCGGAACACTAAGTTTACCCAACAGACTCCAACTTGAAGAGCAAATACAGGCAGATCATCACAAGAGACAAAAGTCGTTTTGGCCAATCTAACAAGTGGTTAAGAACAATTAAATAGCAATCAGATTACTTTTACCATGTGGCAAAGGAATCTAAAGACCAGATGAAGAGGTTTGAAACATCAGACCATAATGAACTAAACCTAGGTTAAATATAACCTTGAAATTATTTCACCATCACCATGAATAGTGACATCCAATATTAGGAAAATGCGAAAAATCTTGAAGACACAAAGGACATGGCAAAACCTAACATAAGTGACAAATATGTTATTTATAAACATGATAACTAGGCTTACAATATTGTGATAGACAACAGTTAAACACAGGTAAATATGCATGCATGTACTGATGTCAAGAAAGAAAATGGAAATATTTGGGAGAGAGCCTTACATCTTAATCAAATAAGAGTCTGGCTGGCCGAATAAGCAGATAAGGTGACCGGAATAGTTTGTTGAGACACATCAAACGGTACCACAATATAAGTAATTACGTTATCAAAGTAACCTACTCTTAGGCAAACACCAATTAGGCACATAAAAGTATGAGGCTGTCTGCCAAAGTTTCAGCAAAAAAAAGTCCCTAAAATTATATGCCCTGAGTCTAGCGACTAAAATATGGTGCAAAGGTCCATAAGGAGAAAAGGCTATGAATGTAGGAGTAGTGTCACAATCTAATCCTGCAAGCTGTTTCAATTCCATGTTTAAACCTTCAAATGGAGAAATGGAGCCGACTGTGAAATTATGACGGAAATGCACATAAACTTCGAATTTTCAACCAATCCACAATAATGATTGAGATAATTTAAGTCTTAATACAATCAGAGAGGCAATGTCATAATGGACGAAAAAGGGAACAGTCAGCTCTCAAATTGAAGAGAAATAGATGTCGAACTCTACTTAATGTAATACTGAAATATATCCATTCTTCATGTATTATTTTGCTCTAAGAGTCTCCGCTCACTTAATAACCATGTGAGTCACAGTGCGCATAATCAATGAACAAGAGCTCTTGAGATCGAATTAAAAGGCAATGAATTATTGATATAACTTGATAAGTCCAGGGTGGTCTAAGAAATGAGAATTTCAAATTTGTAAATTAGCAAACAAGACCAAATTCTATGTTCGAAATGCCTTCGCCAGTACAATCTCCCTCGCAAAGACTGTAAGATATACATGAGTACAGGTAACAATAAATTACACAATTAAATCAGCATGAAGTCACCAAGACGTCAGCAGACCAAAACATGAAAAATGAGCATTTGGATATCAGACAAAAGGAAATATATTACTTATAAAAAGTGGAAAATTCGATAGTTTTTTTTTCATTCTAGGCAAGCATACCTAGCCTGGATCACAACTGGGCTTATATTGAGCCACTCGTTGGAACCATTCGACGACGACCAAGCTAATCATACCCAAGTTGTTATGCCTCGAATGTAAAGTATCTTGTGAGACATGGATATCGCATTGATGGCAATAAAGTCAGCGCATAATAATAGTCAATAATAAAAAGGAAATCCGGAGAGAAAAAATAAGACAATAACTCACCATTTGAAACCTTGGAAAGCAGGGAAGGTTGGTATCGACGGAGAAGGGATGGTCCGGCAATTTCATGAAGTTGTTGTATCAATGCGAGAGTTCCAGCCTGCTCTATTTCAGAGTACTGAAGGATTTTGTTAAGATTACTATTATAGCATTGCAAGCCGGAGGAGTCTGAATTCGAGAGACGCGTGGACATGGCTGAACGAATTGTCTAAAAAGGAATATGTGTAATTCAATTATAGCGGAGGTATTTTAATACGGCAGCCGTCGTCTTATGGGATATGGCTTTTGGGATTTTATGGAAAGATGACTGAATGAGGCAAAAATATTTGTCCTGATTATCCATGCCACTAAATTCGGTACCATACGATCTTTCTAATTCAAAGATCTTCATCTACATCTAAAACTAAGTGGCTCGAATTTGTCCACATGATGCTTTCGTAATAAGGGATTGACTTTTACACATATTTTGAAAAGATTTAACATCAATATACAACTTCAGTGTCGTTAAGTACGACTTACCTGTGGAACATACTGCCAGGCGGGTGGAAAAGCAGTGATGGCACGTTCTACTCTTCCCAGAAGATCGTGGATAGTGGCGCCGGTGTTGCGTAGTGCCTCGGCTAGGTCCGTCACTCGTACGCTCGCTTCGTCAATCTCCCTCTCCAGAGAACGCATCAAAGGCACCAACTGGTTTGCCTGAAAACGAAGAGACCGCAAATTAACTTTAAACCAGGACAGAAACTTTACTAGCTGCACTTGAAGAGACACACACACAAACTGCGTAACTAGAGAACTTACCTTGAGAGCCAAGAAATACAATAGAGCACATCTGTGTATCAATTATGTAATATAGACTTCGCAAAAGCAAGACATGAATATAATAAAAAAGTAAAGGCGAAGATCTTAAAAAACGTCAAATAGTGACCCAACAATCACCTAAGACTATTTGACGATATAGTAAAACTAAAACCCCACAATCTCATCACTCCCTGCATACATTAAAGAAATATTCCTTCAAGATTAGTTTTAGCAAGCCGCTGGCCAATCTCAAATACTAACTGGATGTGCACTGATTGGTACTAAATCTATGAAATATGATGGAATGTTCATTAAGTAAGCCTGTATTCGGATGAATCAAATAACCAGACAGCTTAATATCCTATGGTCGATAAATTAGATAGCAAAAATGCAAAGAGAACTCGAAAAAGCCTCCATAAACCGATATCAAACAATAATCAAGTTGATGGATAACTGGCTGTAGAATAAAGATTGTTTTGACCACAAAATCAAAGTAGTAAACGTCACAAAGTCAAACAAAGCAAGTTCAAGACCTATTAAAGTAACACTTTATAGAGAGCAAACAGAAGACAACCAAGCAGGATCTTTCCAATAAGAAATGCCAAAACCGATCAGGATTTTCAAATACAACAAAATTCAAATTTAGAAAATTAACTCCGAGAGGTAATTTGCATTAAGCTTCTTTCATACGGTACAGATTCAAAACCCACTAAGGGGAGGCCTTGAGGAATTTCGATCTATTATATGGAAGGAAAATACCATAAAACTGGCAAAATATTCGCAAGTCACGAGATTTTAATAGATCTATGAAAGGTCATCAATCATTTCACAAAAATTTATCCTTAAACCAACAATTTGGAAAAGCATGCAAGATTTCGACTTATCTTAAAACGAGAAATGCTAGAATTATGGAAATTCAATAATCAACTAACTAGAATGATGAACACATATAATACAGATGATAAAAGTGCATTAAAATGAAAAGGACTATACGCCGCTTAATCTCTAATAGAGCTTGCTTGTTTGAACGCAAGTACGTAAAATAGAGGATCGATGGTGAGAAAAAGTTGCATTGTGTACACATGTAAACAAATCAATGTGAAATAAACGTGTCTCAACTAGCCACAAAGCACGTAGTACATTAATTAATATCTAAATAGACTAACTTTAGGATCACCACACCCATCCAGTACAGCATGTTGAACCTTAACATTGTTCAACTTCATCTTCTTATGGAACCGTGCAGCACCGACACTCGTAATCTCACTCATCTGTTTCACTCGAGTTACCATAACCTTGTCGAATGCGTTCGCAATCTGGACAAGGTTTTCCTTCACTCGAAGATTTAGAGGAGGTTTGGATGTCACACGACCAGGCGGTAACTGATAAGGCATACTTCGCATGCTGGATGAGCTCTAAGAGAAGTAACAATCAAACGGAAAGATGCATTAACTTACAGCTTGTGCGGTAACCATCTTGAGTTGCTGTCTTAGTCTGCGGTTTTCAATTAAGAGCTTTTTGAGAGTTTCTGCATCTGTAGAAGTCATATTTGTTACATTAACGGAAATAGTATTCCTGATCTTTTTGGCACGAGTGGCATATTGAAGAGTGTTGACAGACTCAGCCATATCGATTTCTGCTGGCGAAATGCAAGCGATGAGGACAGTTCGAGAATTTCCACCCAAAGAATCACAGAGAAGACGCGTAAGCTTAGAATCACGATAGGGGACGTGTCTCTGGTTTTCCGAGAGTGCATTAATAACATTTCCAAGCGCAAGAAGTCCGAAGTTTATTTTAATTCCTTCCTTGGCCCGTTCGCCTTCTGCTCCAGTACGACCCAATCTCTCACTCCCAGCCAAATCAACAAAATGAAATTTGGAAGAAATTAATTCTACACGAGTTTCGCCCTCAACCTTTTTTCGTTGACTAATATGAAGAGTCAAGATAGCATGAGAACGAGAACTTTGAGCGTTCATTTTAGTGGAACCAGTTGATCTAGATTCGCCACCAGCTCTAATGATATGCAAGGCCTAGTGAGGAAATAGAATTGGCAGAAAAATTAATTCTTACATCATTGACACAATTAATCCTAATTGTAGTAGCACCCGAAAGATAAATTCCTCCACCAACTTTTTCTTGGATTTTTACAACGTTCTTTTTTGGAGTGAGCAAATCCCTAAGCTCTTCATTATATAGCTAAGCAAGCAATGAAATAATAGGCAGTATTACCTCGATGAACTGAGCCTCGACAGCATAGTCACTTTCGGTCATGGAATCTATCTGTTCGAATATATCAACTATTGCCCGTGGGATTATTCCAACGCAATCATTCATGGAAAAGTCATCGATATCAAAAGATGTTCCCATTGTGTAAGTTTTACCAGAGCCAGTCTAAAAGTATGATTTTTTGATTAGCAGAACATACCTGGCCGTATGCTAAAACAGTTGCGTTAATACCATAGAGGCAGCTGAATTTGTAAATTATAAGATTAAACAACATACTTCTTAATAAGAGGCGCTACTAAAGTGTTATAAACCTCCGATTGATTTGAATCCGATGGAAAAATATGATCAAAGGTAAAGGAGCGATCAACTCCAATAATTATTGAGGAGGCATGTTTATCATGTACAACAATATCTCCAACACCATGTTCACCGAGTGGGCGGACGCTAAAAAAGTCTTAAATAATAATAAAATACTTACCGAACTGCCACCGTTATCTTGTCGGAGGCCGCCATTTTCAAAATTACCCTTTCGAGCCTGGAGCCAAAAGCGTTCAGTTGTAGTTCGATACTTTCTAACAATGGTATAAAACTAAGGTCGTTTTCTTGACTTATTCGGTTGTCAAATGAAATTACAATCAAAGCCAGAAGATTAAATGCTATTTTCATTTGTTTTCATTTATATATTTAAAACCATTTACAAAATAGTTAAAAATTAGGTCTTCCTTCTTTTAAATAATAATTAAAATGTTATTAATCGCCATTTTAATAAGGAATTTCAAACTGAATGGCAAATTTTGTTTCGATAGTTTTATTTTTGTCGATTTCAACCAAATATCAACACTGCAAGCGTCTATTTTTGAACGCCACTTATTTCGTTAAGGAAAATGGCTGTTTTAACCTTTTTATATTAGTGAAATTATAAGTAATCAAATATTTACAACTTTTGGAAAGATTTAGAGAACTTTTTTTATCAGTACTCATTGGATGGAATCCTGATATCAGTATGGTTTTCCACTCAGTGATTAACTGTCTAGCGTTTCGTGTGGAACTAACAACTCATCATTGGCTAATCATAGGTCTCTCAACTTATGTTTCATTTTGCTGCAGGCGTGGAAATTTTTAATTTCTAAATTAAATACAAAGCAAAGAAGCCTTGGTACGATGTTTTATTTCCCTATGTAAGGTGTTCTAAATCTTCGTTAAATACAGTCTAATAAATGAATCATGATGTAGATTAGATAAGCAAAAATAGTACAGAAGTCTGAAGTGCCATTTAACAAATAGAACAATGTTTTATAGACGGAAATGTCGATGAAATTATATTTTGAACAATAGACTTCTTTATTGTTCTATGATTAGACGCCCTTTATCATAACTTACCAATTAATCAAGATATAAAATTCTAGAAACACAATAAAAACTAGGATATCTCAACTAACACTTTTGAAATAATCTGCATATATCGGACACTTTTGACATGTTGGCTTATTTCATTAGTTTTCTAATAATCCTCCGATAGATTAAAGTTAATTTTCTTCAGTAAATGTATTATGAATACAGTTTATTAATTTGACAAACAATGGTGCTTCTCGTTTTCTAACATATTCAGGCCAATACATTTAATTCAGATTAATAAGTTTCGTAATTATGTATACTTGGTCTAAAAATGGTTTGAGCAAGAAACATTCATTTAAAGTTTGATGGTTTTATTATCAGCATAACTATTGCCTGTTAGTAGAGGCTGTCGACAATAGATAATTTAAGCTTTTTGAAGAACTCCATCAGGACAGAAAAGTATAAAAATGAAATCAATGTATATTATGATAAAATGGTTAATTCGGGGTTTTTAGACTAATTTTCAGTCTTCACCTGCTATTTAGTTCAATAAATTCTCCAATGAATGTGTAACCGGAATAAAACAAATATTGAAAATATGCCATATAAAAAAGTTATTTACTACGGTAATAAATCAAAATTTTCATTAGTGAATGCAATTAACTATATATTTATTTATATTTAAACAAATATGCTTTCATTATTTTACCTAGACATAATTAACGTGGTAATTTTTCATTTCAACTTTTCGCAAGCTTACTCAGTTTATCACGTATTTAAATAAAATAAGAATGATGTCATATCGTGTTGAAATTCATTCATTACACCATTACTTAACACCATAAGAATAACATTTGCTCAAAATGCATGAAGTAGGAAGAATAAGGAATTTTTATGAACTACACGTTGTTCCAATAATGCATTTAAAACGCATTTTCACAATTGCAAACAAAACATTAATCATTTATTAAAAATGGAAAGACTTCAAAAAATATATATTTTGTCGTTAAGATCCGAAAAATATATTCTGTTTTCTAGTGAAAATACGTATTATGGATTATGATAGAATTTCAAGATTTTTCATGTAGCAAAAATGAATTCTAATTTAAATGCATTAAGTAGAGTTATAAATTTCTTCATACTAAGAGAACTCCAATACATCACCAAATATTCTTACATATTGGAATTAAATTTAAGTGAAGAGTAGTAATTACAATGAATTTAATCGATATCATATAAAGGGATGAGTTAGGAATGTTAGTAATATGTCAATAGAATCGCTCAATTCTTTGCCGATAATATGGTGATTGCATGAAAATATCTTCGTTAACCTTTTTTTCACGTCTAGTCATCAATATCACCTTGAGTCATTTTAATTGATACTTTGGGATACAGCTGTTAACAGTTATTTTTTCATAATTCCGCTTGCTGTACGAAAACAAATCAAATGTACGTCCCTAAGCATGCATTTAAGTAAGCATCTTCGATTGAATAATTGTGAGGCCTAACTTAGTAACATTTCTGTAGAGATCGAGAACCGGCAAACATATCCAAATAATACCCTTATAAATGTATGTGCTATTTTAGATTAATGAATTACTAAATATCATGTAATTAAGAAATTTTATTTGACAGAAAAAGTATCCGTTTCAATACATTATTAAGGTGTAATATCGATTTCCTAAAGCTCTGCTCTTCCACGCTCCGGTGTTAAAATTTAAAGGGTAAAATTAACGTCGTCGATTTTATCCACGTGCGGTTCAATTCAACCCAACTTAAATATACTAATACTACCTACCAAATAAGACTGAAAGCAAGATATTTTAATTACTGAAGAAGCAAAATTGTCCATGCTTAACTGTTTCTTACTTATAGCTATTTAGTTTTTAAAAATGGAGAAATTCTACAATATATGTAGTTATTTAATATAATTTCAAAAATATATATCCACTTCAATAAAAAAACTATCACTGTTTGAGAAAGAATTAATTGATTTATTTAAATTTTTTGAACGCTTATTTTAGAATAAATAGTTAATTTCAATATTGCCTTTGGAATGAAATTATTTCAAGGTCAATTTGACCAATCGCATAGCTACAGATATAGTACATAGTTCATTTATACAGTTTTTAACATTTTTTAAAATCATGCCCTCCATAACCCATAAGTATAAAGCTGGTACTAGTGTATTCTGTTTTGAACCCGATCCATCTAAAGCTAAGCTGATATATTATGCTAAGGTTAGTGTCCACTAGTTAGCATTGCTTCCCTAGATCAAACAGCTGTGCGGATTTTCCACCAATGGTCGCTCACGCGAACCTCAGTATTTTGTTCACTTTCTTGGCTGGAAGAATAAATGGGATAGAAAAGTGCCTGAGGATCTTCTCATGGATATAAATCACTTTACTAAAATGCTTAAACAAAAAATCGATGAACTTGCGGCAAATGTACTCCCCTTACCTCCCCTTCGCCTTTACTACTATTTGTAAATTTTAGATCAAACATAAAGAGCTCAGAAAGGAAAGGATAGACACCGTCTTAATGAATGCTGCGAAGGCTAAAGACGATATCGATTGGGATACTCTACCTGGAACTTGGCAGAAGGATGAAAAACCGATTAAGTCAAGAACGGTATGTTGATTTGAACAAAATATTTAATACTACTGTTTTAGTCAAATGCTTCATCCACTGGGGAATCTCATCAGTCACAGGATCTTTCAGAATCAATTGAGGAGACAGACGTTGATTCTGAAACTGCGGCAAGAGCTAAATTCGAATCTCTTGATGCTCATTTGAATTTCGCTCCAGCTATCAAGCTACCCAGAACTCTGAAAGTTCTCCTCGATCGACATTACATTTCTCTAGCTAGATCAGCGTCATCGGTGCCCTGTTGGTGCTCAGCTTTATATCTTCTTCAAACTTATCTTAATGGATTCCCTTATCTGAACGGTGCACTCCATAATTCCACGACAAATAGACGGAATAACACGGACCTTTTTCCGTCAAGTAGCGATTTTTCTTTTATTCATTCCTCCCGCCTCCCTTTGTAGCCATTTTTCGTGATCGATTCTCTCGATCTGTGGCATCGGGCTATGCGAAGGCAGATAAAAGCAAGCTGCTTTGTGCTGAATTCTGCAGTTCTGTGAGAATTCTCTTTGATGCTTTGCTGGAACAGTACTTCTTTAAAACTGACGAGGATAGAAGACATCAGTAAGTCAAAATTGGACTTTTATATCCTTAGTTAGTTAGTTTTTATGAGTACATTGCCTGAGGTTTTATCTTGAAATTACCATGCATTATTTTCTTAATTTTGATTGGCTCAGAGTGTACAGTTTGGTGGAAATGCAGAGCTTCCTATATGAGCCCAAGCATGTCTGGAAACAGAAATGTTTTCTGTTATTTTTAATTTGCATTAAGTCTAGTTATGGTTAAGGATTATCTTGTTGGACAAAGTTGTTGTGAATTTCACGAGGGATGTACATTGAATCCTTTATTAAGTCATATGATCTATTTTCTTCAATATTGAATACCTATTTTTGCTTCAAAATGCCTAAAGTCAAATACGTATAAGTACCACAACTGGTTATAAACGAGGACATGTTGATGTATGCTGAATTTGATCAGCACTTAGCTTTCGATTTGATCAGTTGGAGAGGACTGTGAGCCCTGTTATCGGTGTTAGTTGTGGTGAGTGCATACACCTGTCAAACGAGAGATCATGAGTTCAGTAATCAACCATGACTGTGATTACCAACAGTATTAATAGTAAGAGGGGATTTCGAATTTTTTTCTTATTATTATCAGGCTCTAAGATGCTTTATCTACGTTCATGTTTGTCGTGTGAAAATGGTTTCTTCAGTAAGCTTACAAATCTGTAGTAAGCACAGTGTATCTGCATTCAGCAGTCGTTCTATTTACTTAGTTTTGTGAGTTAATGGTGTCTTATTCGATGAAACGACTGTTTTGTAAATACAGGTTGATTTTATTTAACTGTTCGGCCACGAATGGTTCAATGCAGTCATATCCAGGTGATTTACCTTAAACTACGTGAAGGAACACATCGTCTTTATGATTTTTTTGTCCTTGACAAGGAAAGCCTTATTATAAGAAGCGTGTGCGGTCCCAGTAAACGATAACGCTTGTCACAGTTTTTTCGATTAAGAACGAGACATTAAGGACTTTGGGTACTTAAAAATGGAATGACTTATTTTCCAAGACTTAAGTGTTAGAGATTTGAATGTTTTACTCTCCTATCGTTCTTGCGTCCTAATTGTCTCTACCTGGTTTGAGATTTCACCAGCCTACTTTACATTTTTAAAATTTGTCATTATCTCAGGTCACTACTTTCTCAATTCTGAATGGACAGCTTTAAAATCGATGTGTGACTACTCAAAGATGCGTCACATTTGCTTTCTGTGGACGGGGACAGCCTTAGTCACATATGCAGTAATAAGTATTGAAGTCACATGAAATATCAAACAGTGCACTTTAAAATGCATGTGGCAATTGTCCCCTGCTTCTATTAACTCTGCTACGATGATCTGCTGTTTCACTTGACACCAAAAAAGACTTCACTCTTCATTCTTCCTTGTGGTCGATTCAATAACAACCCACTTTAAAATTCTCTGCCTTATGGATCGAAGCTATTTGACAGATGATACTGATAAAGCGTACTTTGCTCTACGTACGAATTAATATTATTAGCAGGGGGTGTGATAGACTTACCTCCACGTGGTGCACCCTGGGCAACGTATACTCATACGGCAAAAAAGTCTATTAACAGGCAGTTGACTTCTGACTTCAAACTACCATGACCCCACTGTATGTCATAGTCGGCTACTTCCACAGTACTCACCTCACCTTTTTCTACCGTTTCTAACTTCGTCTTTGAAACACTCTTCTGTCCTTCCCCCTCTCGAATTTTTTGTCACTTTGATGTTCCTCCTCCTCTCTGTGAAGCCTGAAGTCAGCTAAATGGCTAATGATAACTATCAAAACGCCTGCCATTTGAAGTAAATGAATAAATATTATTAGCAAAATTTTCTTACTATAATTACTTTTTTTCTCTAGGTCAAAAAAAATTATCAATGTGACCATATTTTCAGTTTCGTTGTGAGTAAATTCAATACCTAATGATGTAGTCTTAGGAGTTTCGCAAAAATTCTCCTAGTTTCCAAGTCACAAACTCCATTGTTACAAATTTGTATCTGAAGTAATCCCACAGTTCCCCTGATAATCATGAAGCTTAAAACTCGCCACATCAATTCCCTAATTAATATAAGTCAATTTAATGAAATACCACATTATTCCTTTTTTTATTCAAACGCTCCGTTGACACCAAGCGATGGTGCTTAGGAGTAGTCGAACTTAGGGGAAGACGCCTTCACACTATCCTTAGCTTTACTTTCTAAGGATCTAGTCATCTAAAAAAATAAGCCTTAAGTAAGAAATTCGAATGACCTGTTTGCTGTGAAAAAAAATAGTCGTTAACCACAACTGCTTTTCTACACTTTCTAGGAATATGGCTGTGAATGGTCCAGAGATTCCTGTGAGAGGTCTTTATACCATTCTTCCCAAAGAGGAGATCGCCAAGGATCCCTCTCTACCCTGCATCAATTACGGTGCTGTCTACATTCTTCGACTTCTCCGTAAGTTGGCAGTCTTTATCAATCCTCTTTTTTTTCCAAATCTTAATGCGCCCATCCACTACCGCTCCCAATCAGACAATTAGTAGTGGTTCAGTTGTTATAGTAATGTCTGTGAAATGCAGACTCTTTATTCTATGACACTTCTTTTCATTTAAATTAAATCCTAAATTTCCTTAAACGAAAGGGAGTCAGACAACAGTTGATCCCCAATAGTTACCTTGTTTGCAGTCGGTCAATAATTTGAGTAGTGTACACATTATTGATCTGCATCGGCAAGTACCGACGAGCGTTCTTCCCATCAACTTTCAACTACCCAGTATATCTCTCCGTAGACTCTATATTCCGTCATTCTGCTAACTTCAGAATCATCGCCTAACTTGATAAGTCTTTGTGATCTCTATCGCTTGATTGTCAGGAGTCGAAATGCCCATGTGAGTTATTGGCTGCTGTCTCCACATATTGATTTTAGATTTATGGTTCTGGGCAGTATTTACTCTTTTCGGGGGTGGGGGGGGGGGGGGGGGGGGAGAGTATGATCGGTCACTTGTACAACTCCCCTATAGTAGACACCAAACATCCACAAAATGACGCCTTTTTTGTACTCGTACAAATATCTCCCTGAGATGAAATCGAACTGGTCCTGATGAACACTTCTTCTGACCCTTGTTTATTTTTACTTTCTGTTTGCTATTAACTCCTCACGCTATAATACCTTAGGGTTAGGCAACTCAATGTCAGAGATTTTCAACTGTATTCTCCAGAAAAGTCAAATGGTCGAGCTTGTCTCTCTCTTTCTATAGCTGTGGGAGTGTAGTCCTAAGATAAAATCTCTCATAGCATTCAATAAATCTTTAAATCTACTTTTCCTGGCTCTCTCTCTCTCGTATTATATGCAGACTTCAATGCAAAACTCACCTCGTAACTCTCCTAACCTAATCTTTGTCCTAACTTGCCAGTGAATTGTATTACCTTATATCTCCAAGCCGGTAACCTCAATTGACCAGGCAAACGGGGGTAGTCGGGCCGCTTTTTAATTATCTATCTACTAGTATCCATGGCAAGTTAATCTCTTCAGGTCAAGATTATTAATGTCGTTCGTTGAGATTTTGATATCAAAGATACTACCGTGTGCACCGTCTCTTTGATTCGGGTTATTCTTCTTTTTCTATTGACGAGGGTGATGACGTAGTGCTATCGAGTTCACCAATGGATGAACTCCCTCCCGTTGAGTTCCGAATTTTGACACGATGCACCTATTTATATTCCCCCCCCCCCCCCCCACCTCTCCCCATTTGCTCTTAATTTGCACAAAATCGCCATATCCCGTAACAACTTATTGTTGTCTTTACAATCGCTCCTTCCACCTCTAATTACTTGGGTTGCAGTCGAATGGGGATAGGAGTCGATGTGAGTTATGCAAGCACCATTTAATTACCTTCACGTGACTACTAACTACTGTTCAGAGTTTCATTTTCGCCCTCTCGTCTTTTTTTTCTTGAATTCCTCAAGAGTTGTCTTTTTTGGTCATAGCGTTGTTGCGATTTGAACCGCGTTGTCATTCTACAGCTACGATTTCTCAGATCACCTAGTTCAAGTATCGTAATGCCAAGAGACAGCAGGACTCGAAGAGAGACGGTACTTTGATAGGAACTGAATAGACTGACTAGTATCACGGATCGGAACCGATCCAGACATCAATAGGTGGTGTAAATATTGTTGCATTTAGGAATATTTAATAACTCAAAACCAGGCTACTAAGTAGGCTTAAACCCGTGAAAGGTTTTTTTAATAATATATGTCGATTTTATGGGCGCCATTTTTCTCACAAACTGCTCTATATCCCACAGAAAATCTTCGTGATCTAATTAATCAGATGCCCCTGAGTCAATGCCGTCGTTCAGTAGTCCTACGTCACCTCTATCTCTTTATTGCCTACCTGGATCAGACAAGAGATTTTTGGTTCACATCCACTCAACCAGATACCCCTGCTCCTCGCAATCCCACCTCAGCCACAGCATCAGTAGCCAATGAAGCCTGCGCCATGTCCGCTTTTGAAGATGTTGTCAACTTTGTCATGACTACTTCTCCTCCCTTTTCTCCTACTCAGACCTCTTCACCTGCTGTTCCCGCAGTTGTGTCGAGTGGGAATAAACGATCCAGACCTCTGGATATGACCAGTTCTCCTGCTGCTGCTGCTGCTCCACCGCTGAAGCGACAGCGAAAGATGTCCTTGTCTGTATCTACTTCCGAAGCAGAAGTCAATGGGAATGGTGCTAAGAGGAAATCTAATGAAAACTCCCAAGGTAGGTATTGTGTGTGTGTGTTTTTTCCCTCTGTTCTTTCGAGTATACATTCTATCAGAAGACACCAAAACGAATGCTAATATGAACTTAAATCCACCCAATTAACCTCTATAGTGAACCAGTCTGGTTCGATTCGTTGGTCGGCGTATAAAGAAAGGCAGTGATCCAAGCAGTGTGATATTGGGTTTGGTTTCCTACTGCGAGGATTTCTCTTGTTTGTTCTAATTACCAGCTATTGGACTGCAACTGATTTGACCACTTGGCAGTAGTTTAATCCACTAGAGCAATTTCCGTTACATCACGGTAAAATTTTCCATAAGAAACGATGACTTCACAAGTGTAAATCCAAATTCAGCTTTGGCTACATAGCACTGGGTCATTTTTACGGTCATACAGAGTACGGATCACGTGGATCTCTCCCAATTTGCATTACACTTTTTTTCCTTTCCCATCCTATTGATTTGTTTCGCTGGTGAGATCTTGATAGTGTGTCCTGGTTGGCCTTCTTTGATTTGAATGACTTAATTTCACCAAGGCCAATGCGATAGTGACTAGCTGCGCGTTTACTGATTGCGGACGTGGCACTGTGTAGAGGTGCATTTTTTTAATATATATTTTAGCGCAATTTTGTGGCTGTTGAGGCGGGGGGGGGGGGGGGGGGGGGGNNNNGGGGGTGTGGGCGTGTACTTAAAAAGTGCACGAACTTCAATCACCTCTCCCAGTCACGCTACATTACCGATCCTGAAGGAAAGCGGTTAGAAATGCAAATTTTAAAGTCGGTTAGGGGAAAGTTAGTACTCAAATCACAATTCTCATTTTGCTCTAGGCCAGGCTTCTTTCCTCCATACAATGACTGTAGACAATAAAATTGGTTATTGCTCTATTTTGTAATTAATTTTGGAGATAATTAAGTTTATTAAAGAAGGAAGGGCTGTCCAAATAACGCTGCTATTTCCAATTGCGCACACTTGGATGCAATAAGATACCGCTAAATCAGCCGATCAAACGCTTCGAGCATTCTAGGGAAAGTTTTACTCGTGGACCACTGAGCTAAGCTTCATTAGGGCTCCCCTGCCGCCCTGTCTCCAATGCCCTCTCTCCCCCCCCCTCCATTTTTCCTTTCTTCCTGTTTCCTACCTTGTTGGACCCTCTTGCTGTCGCACCCCCTATTCACAAGCCTTTTCGTGTCTAAAAAAGTGTTTAAAGTGCATTTCTGCTAATTGGACCATTGACTCAGGTCTCTGAGTGCCTTCTTTTTAAATGCTTATTCACAGTTAGAACCTCGCCTATCCACATTTTTTGTTCAGAAGCAGAAAAGGTAGTCGGACACATGGAAGTTACCATTTTCCAACTGATTCCAAATGCAATTTCTGCTCATATCTGTTTGCAAACCGAATTTCGCTTGAGTTTCATTTACTCTAACTACAACTACCTGCACTATTAAATCCAGTATCTGGTGATTACTGTGTGGTCATTGTTTTCTTTTCTTCGTTACGGTTCTTATTAACGAATGCTTAATGACTTGCTTAATTGTTGAACACATTGTGGGCGCTCATTTAGGGAATAATTAGCTTTCAAATGGCAGATGTTTTGAAATAGCAGTACATTTATTTATATCAAATGGCAGATGTTTTGAATAGTTATCATTAGCCCTTTAGCTGATTTCGGGCTTCACAGAGGGGTGGAGGAACATCAAAGTGAGAAAAATTCGATAAGAGGAGCAGAATAATGATTCGCTAATGTGAAAGAGTCAGACAGACACAAAGGCAGAGAAAGAAGAGAGGTGAGTACTGTGGAAGTAGTGGAATATGACATACAGTGGGGTGATGGCAGTTTGAAGTCAGAAGTCCATTGTCGGATTATGGACTCGGGGTCATGATAGTTTGAACTCAGAAGTCAACTGCCAGTTAATAGACTTACTCATGGTAGTTTGAAGTCAACTGCCAGGTAATAGACTTTAGTTTGAAGTGAGAAGTCAACTGCCGATTGATAGACTTTTATTTGAAGTCAGAAGTCAACTGCCAGTTAATAGACCTTTTCAGTCAGAAGTCAACTGCCGGTTTATAGACTTTTTTGCCGTTTGAGTAGTCAGAAGTCCATTGTCGGATTATGGACTCCTTTGCCGTATGAGTATACGTTGCCCAGGGTGCACCACGTGGAGGTGAGTCTATCGCACACCCATCATATAGGGAATAAAGATTTGGGTTTAAACGCAAACTTTTATCATAACCAAACTCCATTTTGTCGGACAGACATACCTCCCTCCCCCCCCCCCCCTATTAACTCACTAATCTCTTTTGGGAAATTCTTTTTATTAGATCATTTAAAGTGAGTGAAAAAAATCCTCCCTCATTACTTCTCCTTAAAGCCGCATCAACTTTCGCCCTTCTACTCTCACCCTTGCCTCACCTCACCACAATGCACTTTTGATATGATTTTATTTCGTCCGAGGAGGGGAGGGGAGGGAAGGGGAGAGATGAAAAGTGACCCTTGTCTGGATTACTTAAAAAGCAACTTAGTCTCTTTCGACTGTGGAAATGTTCTCGCAAAGACTTGTAACAGATACCAAACGCGCTCTCTGGTGGCATGAGAAGACCGCACAACTGAGGGAGGGATTCGCGTTTCATGTGGACACTTTTGGAGAATTAGAGATCGCGAATATAGAATAGGTGGATGGGAGGAGAACAGTAGTAGACCTATTTGTGCTGAGGGTCTGTTGTGAAAAGTGATGTGGAGGTAGATCAACTGAGTGCCAATAAAGTAGTAGAATGTCTTGGCAACAAACACGAAAAAAAGGAGAAGATTTTCACTTCAATCTACGTCCCAGTATCATGCTTTCAAAAAAATCTTTCCCTAGAAAAGCCTGAATTCGCGCTTTGGTCCTACAAAAATAGTAACAGTTAAGATGAAATGAAGTGGGTCAAGTGGAAATGATGTTGAATTGAGGCCAACTCTGTTTTGTAGACGGCGTTTACTTCAATGTCTCAACGTTTTTTGTTGTTGTCTAGACTATATAGAGGAATGAAAAGGATAGGAAATTTGCCTGAAAGCGTCTGATTTTCGATCAATAAGAGCTTTTTTTTCTCAATGATGTTTCCTCCTCAGAGGGAAATGAGAGAAGTGGCGTCAAAGTCCTAAAATTTGGTCACCGAGTGAATTGGGTGATGTTTCATCTTGAAGTAATTTTTTTCTTGAATAAAAAAGAGTTTTACCCTATAAAAGGCCTTGAATGGCTATGTGTCACACTTTCACAGTGAAAGAACAGGTAGGTTCCAAACTGGTCAAATTTTTGGATGAACTATTAAGAATTTTTATTTCAAATGGCAGGCGTTTTGATAGCTATCATT